CATGATGTTATTGGACCTAATTCACAAATTTCTCAACTTAGTAGCTCCTCCATTTACCTTGTTTACTTTGTTGTTTTTGTTGCCACCTTATCAATTCATCAAGTTCATCTTGTCAATATTGAGCACAGTTTACAGTGAGGATGTTGCTGGCAAGGTTGTTGTCATTACTGGGGCTTCCTCAGGCATCGGCGAGGTTATATATTCCCTTTACTTATGAAGCCCTCTCCCTATAGTATTTGATTGAATGCAGAATTTAAGAAAAAAAAAACGTAAATTTATGGTCATTTGTTTAGTTATAGTTTAAGGTTAAATTGTCGCTGAATAAGGACAAATTATGAAACTGAGTAGGACATTTTTTATCTGGATTTGTTGGATGTTAGATGGTTTGATCATAGCTAAATTTTTTTTTTGATTTCACAGCATTTGGCCTATGAATACGCGAGAAGAGGTGCATGCTTAGCCATTGCAGCCAGAAGAGAGAAGAGTCTACTTGAAGTAGCTGAAAGGGCACTTGATCTAGGCGCCCCGGATGTTTTAGTCGTCCCAGCTGATGTTTCAAACGTTGACGACTGCAGAAGGATTGTTGATAGAACCATGAGCCACTTTGGACGACGTGAGATTTGATTTATAATTTGTTTGATTCCCCTACTTATTATTATGCTTTTGAAAGCTTTAATTATGTTAATTTTGACCAATTTTTTGTTCCGTGTGTGAATTGCAGTGGATCATCTGGTTAATAATGCTGGAGTGACTGCAGTTGCTTTGTTTGAAGAAATAGAAGACATCACTAACTTTAGATCCATCATGGTAATAACAATATATTCATGTCACGGTCGAGTAGATGGTAGGGATTATGTCTGCGTACACAACATCCTCCTCAGACTTTACTTGTGAGATTATACTGGCTATGTTGTTGTGGCTGTTGATGTCATGTTCTGTGTCCCAACACCTAATGTCATGTTCAAATATGCAGGACATCAACTTCTGGGGTTCAATTTACATGACAAAGTTTGCGATTCCCTACCTGAGACGTAGCGAGGGTAGAATCATTGTGCTTTCTTCTGCAGCATCTTGGATTCCTGCTCCAAGAATGAGCCTTTATGCTGTAAGTCCACCAACTTTGATGTTTCCTAATTTTAACCCCCTAATGAACAGCTTTCATTTATTTATTTATTCCGTTTTGATACCCTTACATTTGTGTTACACTGTTTTTTGAGGCGTTAAGGATTGAATTTGGACGGGACATCAAAATAACATTGATCACACCTGGCTATGTTGAATCAGAAATGACACAAGGGAAATTCATAGACAAGACTGGCAAAGTAGATGTTGATCCTCAAATGAGGGATGTAAGTTTTCTTAACCAAATTAAACGAACTTTATTAAAACGCGATATTAGTATGTAATTTGGGGGATTTGATGAATAAATCAGGCTCAGGTGAGCATAATCCCTGTGGTGAAAGTAGAAGAATGCGCCAAGGCAATTGTGAATGGCTCTTGTCGCGGAGAGAGATATGTTACTGTACCAGCTTGGTTCAAGGTCACCTACTTGTGGAAGGTTTTCTTCCCAGAGGTTGTGGAGTGGATTTTGAGGCTGTTGTGGCTTAGCAGTTCAGGAACGTCGCCAGAGGATGCTTTAAGCAAGAAAATATTGGATTACACGGGTCTACAAAAAGTGTTGTACCCTGAAAATATTTGAGAGCTCGAATCTAAGATTAAGTGATGCTGGGGCCTGATATATACTATGTTGGTTGTTCATACTCGAGCTAGAATCCTTATGTCTGCTTGGTTGTTCAAAAGACTGTCTGTTTACCCCTTGCATCTTCATCTTTTTGAAAGCCCAGACCATTTGATCTGGATCTGCATTAGTCCTATTTCAGGTGCAAAGTCTCTTCAATAAAGACCTGTTTTTTTTTAATTTCTCTCCCATTTCTCATATTGTTGATTGAAAGAGAATAAGCTCTATCTAGTGAGTAAGAGAGGGTTTGTTACAATATTTATATTAAGAAATCTATAAGATATTTATAAAATCATCGATTGTGAACTCAGTTATTATTTTACGTTGAACTTGAAATTATGGTAGGAATCCACAGTACATCTCGGTCCTTTTAATCCACTGCTTCTTATTATAGGACAGATTGGTGTTGTGACCATATTCATTCATTTTTAGCAAAAGAGAAAAGAGATGCAATGTTTTGTCCACTTGTAGTAGATGATTAGAGAATGATAAGACTGATAAACACAGCAATTTTTCAGTCTTTATCAAAACAAACCTCAGACTAGACTAATTTTTTTTATATATATACTATGATGCACCCTTTGCATGATCAAAGCTAAAGTGTGGTTGGTTCATTTTCTCCGGATTGGATATGTGAAGAGGAGATGTATAGATGCACAAGTGGTAAGACAAGTGGAGAGAGGTGATAAGACAAGATATGACACAACTTCAAGTTATCGAGGACATGATCCTAAATAAGATCAAAGGTTGTGGGTTGCACACCCAAATTTAAGTCGTAGAAGAAAACTCAATTGGTAAAATATTTGAACTATAATACTGTTGGTTAAATATTTGAACTATAATACCGTTGGCAAGAGCTCGATTCACCACCCGGTAATCCTTCTCTCACTACATCTTAGCGGTAATTAATTAACGGTAATAGCTTAATTGCCTCTAAATATGTATTTTAGCGGCAATTAGCACTTTTTGTATATGTTCTTAAAGCCTTTAGCGACATGGATCTAATGACACTTAACTAATGCTGGTAAAAACTTTAACACTTTTTATTAATATGTCTATTTATTGCCGCTAAAAGTTATTTTTGTTGTAGTGTATTATCCTTCTTCTGCCCTTAATTTTGTTTTAGTATTTTAAAAAAAAATACTTGAAGAAAATTAATTAAAAACAGAAAAGGAAAGAAATTTCAGGAAACACGAATAAATGATAATAATAATAATAATAATGATAATAATAATAATGATGAGGATAATAATGATAATAATAATAATGAGGATAATAATAATTATTATAATTATAATAATGGCATTAATGGCATGAGTCTAAATTTATGCAAATTTTCCTGCCATCAAACAAGGAAAAGAAAGCAAAAACTTGAATTAAATGCAGTAGAAGAAAGGACAGAAAAAGGTCGAAATTGGGGAAATTTTAGGAAAAAATAAATAAATGATAGTAATAGCTAGGAATACATAAAGATTTATGTAATTTCTTCCGATTTTCTAGAAATAAATAAAGATTAAAATTAAAAAAATCAACAAAAAAAGAAACATAAATATTCATCTGTATGAAATATACATCACATCACATCACCTTCCTCATTCTTAGAATTAGTTTAAAAATAAAAAACAATACAAATATAGATATGTAGACCGTAAGCTAAAACGCTAAAAACTCATAAGTCCATCATTATCCATTTTTTACTTTTGGCTTAATTACTTTTGCCCGAAAATAGTTGCTTAAAAGTTAAAAATACTTTTTATCTTTCCCAAGCACCTAAAAAATACAAAAGAGTTTAAAAGTCAAAAACTATTAAAAATAAGTTAATCCAAACACTGATTAAATATTATGATTTCTTAATGGGGAATATATCATTCTAAGACCACAACATTTTATTTTTTGCTATAAATAGACATGAAAACTCATCAATTATGCATCACTTCATCATAAGAAAAATTATATAAAAAAAAAACTAGTCCACTAGTAATTAAGAAATGGAAGGTAAGGGATTAAGGAAGCATAGTGGAATTATGCTAATGATGGTGATTATGGCCTTAATTATTTGTGATCCAATTAAGGTAGAGAGTGCAGTTGGAATTGACATACATCCATGTACACTGCCTGCATGTATAGCAGCATGTCAGAAACTGTTGAAGGATAAATATAAAAGTGCGACATGTGCAACGGGGCCTAAAGGAAAATATTGTATATGTTTGGGATGAACTATATATTATAATTATACTAGAAGTGGATGGCCCGTGACATTTCAAGGGAGACACATATATGAAGATGCCATATTAAATATATAACAACTGTGGCACAACCAAAATGATATATTAGGTGTTGGAACCAAGTTCTATAATATAGGCATGTACATTTTATTTACATAGGCAAAAGGAAAGCTATTTGTTATGGATATGATTGTTGCAGTGATAGAAAATGGTTCCAACCATATTGCAAAACGCAGGTGGCATGGTTTTTCACTGTTAAAAAAATTAAAATGCAGCTGTTAATTGAAGTTGTGAAAGTAGGAAGTAGGAGTTCTGAAAAGTTAAAATGACATAGTTTTATGCAGAAGTTTATATACCTTGTTATGGTGTTTTGGAGGGGGAGTTTTGGGCTTGGAGCATGCCTGCGATGGGAAGTAGCTTCTTCCTTGTCTTTTCCAATTTTCCTTTTGCTGCTTGCTGCTGTGTTCATTGGAGCTGGTGATGATGGTGCACTGATGATGTTTTCTTTTTCCACATACAACAAGATAATTAAATTTGCAGGAGTTCCATCCATAGTTTTAGCAAATGAATTTTTGACTTGAATGGTGAATGTCTTTCCACTTAATTGTCTTGTCACATTTGCAAGAGGCAACATTTGTTTCTGGGAGGCGTTTGAATTTTGATGGATGAGAAAAGATTAGTTAACAATAGGCATTTATATTGTATTTATTTTAATTAGCTGTAATATATACCTTAGTGCAGCGAATGTCGTAGATTTCTTCTGAAGTGAGATGCAACATTGTTTCAGCAGCTTCGTCTGAGATTAGTGCTGTTGCTGAACCACTGTTGTCTGTGATGGTGATGTCAAATTGGCATTTGTTGTAAGAGTAGATAAGAGGATGATTTAAAGCTGTTAGTCGGGAAGTAAAGCATATAAAAATGCATTTAGGTGGAAAGGCAAAAAGAGGAATTTAGGGTGCAGATAAACTTCTATAGTAAGTGAAAAATAGAATTAAATGGTTTAGAAATAGAAGATATTTGTCTGCAGGTTAGTCATGATAATAAATGTGGATAGTAAGAGGGAAAAAATGTTTTTTTATTGAACATGCACTGCTTGAAGTTTTGTTAAAGATATCTTAGTGATTGTTATACCTTGAAATAAGATTTGCGGAACGGCGACAAGTTGCACAATAGAATCTCCTCTGTGAACGAAGCCTAGTAAAGATTTGTTTGCATGTTGAACAGGCTAAAATATAGAATTGTTGATTTTCATCCAATAGCGAAAATTCAGCTTGTATGCAAACTATTTGGCCCTGGAAGATTGTGGGAAAGTGTGAAGAAACATACAACATGATGATCTGTGGAATTTGCATTTGTTCTTACCGGAAGATGTTGATGTGCATCGGCAATTGATATGATCTCATCTTCAAAAGGAATAAGCTGAAGAGAACCCGTTGAAGTTATACTCTTTTTGGTGTATGCGATTAGCAATTGTTCATTTGATGTGGCCCTAGGAATATAAATTTAAACAAGTAAATGTGAGTTTATGGATATGCATATGTATTTGTTGGTAGTTAATTTTTGTGGAAGTAAATACCATTTTCTGAGTGCAGCAACCTGTGGGTATGGAGGATTGATTTGAATTGTTGTGGCAAACCTGCTTGTTAATCCTGTATATTGGAATGGTTGAATGTAAGTTAAGTGCTTTGATATTTGTAAGAACATGATATTAGTGTGTGAGTTTACCTGCATATGATTTTGATTTTGCAATTTTTCTGGCCAGGATAATTGGATATTGATTAAGTTGTTCCGCAATATATATTCCAACATGATCAATGAAGCTTTCCCAAAGTGTAAGCTTTTTGGGTTTCTTCCTGGGGTAAAGAGAATAAAAAAGATTGCAGCTGTTGTATTGTTTTTTTACAAAGAGGATAGTATTGCAATCAAATTGAATGAGGTAAAAAGCCATTGGAGGAGGAGAATTGGGAGAATGTAAGCATAAATACAACCATAGTGCAAAATGAAAGAGCTCATAAATGACATTAACCGAAAGAAAGACAATTTTTATCTATTTAGCTAAGGAACAGAATTATATATGAGCTGGCAGAGAGATCATTTTGTATGCAATCAGTGTAAAGATAAGTACTTTTCAAATAGTTACTTTAGAAATGTAATTCAAATAGTTTTTTAAGTCAGAAGATTAAAGTTTTTACCCAATAGTCACTTCACAGATGCAACTCAAAACAATTTTTTCAGCCTGAAGATTTGTTTTTTTTGAACAATTAGTTTACAAATACAACTCAAATCAATTTTTTCAGCCTAAAGATTAGTTTTTTTTTCAATAACTTAGTTAATGAATTTAACTTAAATTAACAGTTTGATGCCTGAGAAGACTGGACAATAAAAAGAAAAAAGGGAGAAAAACTTATGGTGGTGTTCTAATAGAAAGAGAAGAGAGCTACTGTTTATCTTACAATAGAGGGGAAAAAATATATTAAAAGTTGATTCCGTTAGAGTTTGAGACGTGAGCATATGGAGAATTCAAAGTTGTTTTTCATTGAAGCTTACCTTCTGTATTGTTCATTCAAAGGTAAAAAGGTTTGATTAAGAGTGACTTTTCTTTTAGAAGAGCCGTCAAGATGAATTTGTAAGGGAGTTAATTTGTTATAAAAATTTCAAAAGAAGAACAGAAAAACTGAAAATGATAATAAATGTATACTTACTGATTATCCATTATAATCAATTCTTGAATTCTTGATCCATTAGCTGCACATGTTGGCAAGGCGACGTTAACCACAATGGCAAGGACATCTTGGAGAAAAGTAATGTATAAATTAGAAAAGAATTGAGGTTGTTAGACAATTATAGTTAATGAGAAGTATAAGTTGTTAACTTTGTAATACCAAATTCTAATCCTTCGGGTTGGTGATGGAAGCTGTCGAACATTGTAACAGTAAGCCGTGTTGGTGGTGGCAGTGAATCTTCTGGTGGCTCAACTTCTTCTATTGGTTCAATGAGAGTGCCTTTGTCAATTGTCCAAAGGAAAGTGTTGATTGGAATTCCATATGCATGGTTTGATTCGGTAACACTTGCAACTGATATCAAATAGGTATGGTATGGAAGAAACAATTCAGCATAACTCTTTATATCGCTGCCATACATAATTCCTTGGACTTGTGTTTCCTATGGAAAACAGAAAATACAATTGAGTCAGTTAAATCTCACATATATATTATTTTGTGGCCAGCAAAATTGTGTTTAGATTAAAATTTGTAAAGTTTTTTTTTTTAGTTGCAGAAGTTGAATTATTTCCAAGTAGAAAGCATGGCTATTTCCAAAACTTAAATTTTAAAGTTTTAACTTCAAAATGCGTGTGCCAACAATGAATATAGCTTAAAGATGCATAAAAGGGGCATGCTACACATTGGACAAATGTCGTCTGAAGATAGTCAATTTATGACACGTAATAAAATTTCTGGGAAGGGGTGGTAGTAGGCAGAAGTGTTGCAGATAAAGAAAGGGACTATTGTTGTATTCAGATTAATCATGGCAACACTATTATTGAACTTTATTTGCTTGCAAGTACAAATAAGTGTGAAGAAACATAATATTCATTGAGCCTAGTACTGTTGAGCAAAAATACTACATAAATGGCCAAGCTATACAAAGCAGTTGTTGGTTTCTGCATAAATACCATTTAAATTACTTGGGGAATAGAGGTAAATCATTCAAGATTTGGTGAATTTTGCTGAGAATGTACATTAATAAATGAATATCTTTAACTCATAAAGATACTCCTATGTAGAGAGATAAAAAGGAAGTTAAAGAGATATGAATAGGTCTAACGCTGCTAGTTTCCAGTTATAAATACAATCTGATGGAACACAAAGAGTGCAATAATTTTGACAGTTTTTGAAAGGTTCATAACTACCAAAAATAAGAAAAATATTACTTTTATTAGTTTCCAAGAACTTTTTGTCCAAGCAAGTCAAGTAGATTACTACATGAGACTACTGCAGGGATTTTACTCTTAACATTAATAATAAAATTTGGCTCTTCTAGACTAATGACTTTTCTGTAAAGATCATTAGTGATATAGATTATGTAACCTCATGTCTTTTGTTTATGCCAAATGCATGACAATGTTAAGGAGAATTCTGCGGAATGATTTGAAATATCTAGGATGAATAGCGTACGATAAATCATGAGACTCAACCAATACACTTTGGATCAAGTAAACAATTTGAAGAACACAAATTCTTCTTCTAAAACTGAGCACAAAAGTAATTATAAAATTTAAACACATTAAAAAAGAGATTAGATGATGCAATAAATAATTATGCACTTAATGACGATTGGTATTAAGTATGGTCAATTATATAAGAACTTAAGAATGACTGAAATTATTTAATTCTATAAAAGATGGTAGATAGTAATTTACAAGCTCAATTTGGAATAAACATGATCTCATATAAAGAGAAATTATTTCTTACAGTTTCCACTACAATGGAATAGTTATTCCAGTAACAATCAAAAGTTGTTCACTACAATGTCCACCAAAAGCGAGTCAAGATAATAGTCTCATTCCAAGCTTGTGTAGAAAGAAAAGAGAAATTAGCACTACTATCTGCAAGATTTGATGCAAGAATGTACAACTCATATCAATGGCATGGCTGCAAGATTTTACGTTTTGTCACCAAAACAGCCAGCTTGGAGCAGCTCAAGTTGACACCAACATGATAGAATATCAAATACATTAGGAATATATCGTAGAAGGGATAATGGATGTAATCAAGAACTCGAGAAGCAAGAAGAATGCACATATATTCTAAGACAGTTTGACCAACAGTGACTTGGCATTAGATTTTTCAAATCAAAATGTCTAGACATCCCCCTGGTTCTGCTTCTTGAGAATCAAGTTTGTCCAAAAGGCGCGAGGGTCATTTCTTCACACATTTTGTTTTGACATCTATTTTTTAGCTTTTGGTAATTTTCAATTTTAAAAATACAAAACAACATGTGATAAAGTTGTTTTCCACTGCTTTAAAGGCAAAAATAATAATCCAAGTGCTAACAGGTAAAGTTGTTTTCAACAACTAAACATATTGTTTTTATTTGCTTTAGCTGTGGATGCTATTATTTGAGTTCTCAACAATGACCTTACATGTTGAGAGCTTTATATAGTTGACAATGCATTTAGCTTTCTAACATCATTCCATATTAATTGGAATGAAGATGCATCTCAAAAGTGTAATAAAATAAGTTTAAAGCTTGAAAATTTTATTTCACAAGTTTTGTGTTTGTCTTGTGTAAGAAATTTTGAAATAGATGTCTTAGTTGTTGAATCAAACCTTGTGGAACACAATATAAGAAACATCATATGAATAAATTAATTAAAAAATAAGAATGTTCAAAATGGAGCAAAACATTACTAATTTGACGACGACAAAATCATATATCTTATTTGATTCCATGAGTGGGGTTTGAAGTTGAAAGTAAATGAACGAAGTTTAAAGAGTAATGTATCTGTTGTTAGTAAAATTAAATAAATTCATTTCATTTCACTGACTTTGCATATGATCTTATGATTGAAAAGCATGGAGGTATGCCAGCAACATGAAAGTATATATTAAGTGGTAGTATAAGTAAATGAAGTCTTCAGAAGGCAAAGAGCATTTTCAAACAAATTGTAAAATTTGAAGTGTTAGTATTGTCTGCAGGAATAATGAGAGGATTCTACTTGAATTGTATTTCCATTTTGGTTGCAGGCTATGATTTTTTATTTTGACAACTAATAGAGCTTGTGTTTGCTTTACTCATGAAAAGGTGGGTGAGCTAAAAATAACAGAGCTATAAAAGAAGACAGTGAGAAGACCAATGGAGAATAACAAATGTCTTAGGCATGGATAAATGTAATTGCGAAGCTAATTTAAGTGAGGATTGAGTTCTAGATAAAGAATATTTAAGGAAAATGTAGGTGGATGTGATGAAAGCAATGTCATACCTCTTCATCTTGAAGAATCATGAGTTGATACTTATTGGTTTTTTACAGGTTATCTCTAGGTCGGCCCTTATCAACGACCTGCACCTTAACTGTCCATTCTTTGGTTTCACTGGTAACGGCATTTATGGTTAATCTTTCAGCCATGAGATGATCTGCGATTATAATATTGTGATGTTGTTAGTGCATATAATAAGAATATGAGCAAATAGAAAATAGATAGTAACAAAATTGCATAATATAAAATGATTGAAAGGTAAAATTGTCAAAGGAAATAAGGGGAGGTTTTTACCGTAAATTGGTGCAGTATCAATTTAGAGAAAAGCTTTTGCGATAATTTCATCATAAACTATTTTATGTGTATAAGAATCATTTTTATCCTCAACTGTTGGCGGTCTTATTAATACTTTAACATAGTTAGAACTTTTAGCTCTCGATAATGCAATATACAGTTGGCCATGAGAAAAAACAGGTTCTCTCAGATAAATTCCAACAAAATCTAGTGTTTGATCTTGAGCTTTGTTAATAGTCATAGTGTAGCATAAGCGTATTGGAAATTGTGTTCTCTTAAATTGAAAGGGTATCTTTTCATCTTGTGATGTTAATAGTGGTATTCTTGGAATAAATACATGAGTATCTTTGAAATCACCATTAGAAATTGTGGCACTGATAATATGTGATTTAAAGTCATTGCATGTTAATCGTGTTTCATTACACAAACCCACCAAAGGATTTAGATTTCTTAGTAATATAATTGGACAATGTTTTTTTAAAGATAATTTGTAAGGAGGCAATCCTGGAGGGTTTAAAGTATGCATAAAGTCTTCATATTCACTTTGATCTTTTGGGTCTAGAGTTTCATCAACAGCAATATATACTTTAATATTAGATGGAGATTGCATAATCAACATGTCATTTATTTCATCAACAAAATCGCTTTTAGTAGTTGGAATAGCGCGGGAAGTAATGAAAGAAATATTTGAAGCAGATGTATATAGATTGGGATAAACAAGTTTGAATAAAATATTTAAGGAATCCTTTTCATCGGTATAAGGAAGAACAAAAGAATGCGAAATTTCAATTTTTCCCTGGCTATTTATTTTTTCTTTTCCATGGCCAATTCTCATTAAATATTGGCAGAAGGCAGGATCTATTTTTGCTCACATATTTTCAGACAATTGTAGTTTTTCAAGTTCATTCCAAATTTTAGAGCAAAGCAAGCTTGCAGAAACAAAATCTTCTCTTTTTACCACCACGAACAACAGGCAGAGTTTGCCTAAAATCGCCACTAAATACAATAACTTTTCCACCAAATAGAATTTTTGTTTCCATTAAATCTTTCAGAAGCAAGTCTAGTGCCTCAATCATTTTTTTTTTTTGCCATTGAAATTTCATCCCATACTATTAATTTTACATCTCGAATTAAAGACGCTAATGAACTTTGTTTACTTATATTGCAACTAAATTTCCATCAATTTCTATAGGTAATTTAAAACGGGAATGTGCTGTTCGACCTCCTGGAAGAAGCGAGGCTGCAACACCGGAACTTGTTGTTGCTAAAGCAACAAATCCTCGATGTCTGACGGTAGCCAGCAACACACGATACAAAAAAGTTTTACCAGTTCCACCTGGGCCATCAATAAAGAAAGCCCCCGGTTTATTCGAAAAAACTCTATTCAGAATTGTATTGTAGGCTATTTGTTGGTCTCTATTTAATTGCCTTTGTAATAGCAAATCTTTTTCACTAACAATTATATTTCTTTCAGAAAGTACATCTTTAGCCTTTTTAGCCATTGCAGAAGGTTTTATGATTTCTGGAATTAGGTCAAATTCATTAATATCGCGGTCCATTGAATAAAGAATATCATTAATATGATTTAGTACTTTATAACGAACTTCTTTTGAAGATAGACCTGGGTATTTGTTGAGATCTTCAGACATTGAATTTTCAATTTTTTTCCATAACTCTTTAGGATTATTTGGATTACAGTAAGCTAGCAACACACCAAATAAATGTCTTAAGGTAGATGGCATTTGATAAGTCGTCGCTTCAGACATACATTCTGTTAAATTGTTGTCACAAAGTAACAATCCTCTTTTCTCTGCTGATTCTCTGAATGTACTACAATATTCTCCATTGATAGTGAGCAAATCTTCATATGATTTAGGTGCTCTTACATTCATTAAAAGTAGCCTAAGATAATATCTTTCTCGCTCAGTTGGGTGACAGGTTACGACACGACCAATCGCATTTCTTTGTTTGCGACGTGTCCACATTCTATATGAAGTTGACCATACAAAAAATTCTGGAAATTGTCTATATAATAAATTTAAAGTGATAGCTTCTTTATTGACTTTGTTCATTGCAAAAAATTCAGTTAACATAGTTTTTTTTATCATAGGATTATTTATAACTTTATCAATATTGTCTGTGCTTTTAAAAGATACAAGTTGTTGTCCATCAAGATGAAGTTGAAGATGGTATACACATGGGTTCATTTCACTAATAGGGAAAGCATATATACGCCATGTAGCTTCAGGTGGGGATACCCATCTAGCTGATTGATATTCTTTTATTTCATCAATTTCTATATTTGCGTTATCGGTGTGTAAATTAAATGCAATTTTATCGTGTCTTTTGCATATATACTTATAAATATATTTGACAATTTTAATGTCAGAACAAATCTCAACATTTATATGACAATTGAATTTGCTGAGCAGATAAGGATTGTAAGGAACCACCCATGAGTTATCAAGAAGATGACTTCTAATTTTTACAGATTGTCCTGTATTTCGTCTTCTGTAGATTGGATATGAACTTTTGCCTTTAGTTGTTTGTGCACAAAAGTTTTTTGGATATTTGAATTTGCAATAACCCTTTTTTTTTTCATACAAGGGCATGTTGGGTTTAATGTACCATAGGGACCATGTATCATGTGTAAACGAACAAGTTCAAATAAATGAGGATTTCTTTTGGGATCTGGTAGCTCAGCGCAAACAAATTGATCATATGCTTCAGGTGTTAATATTTTGTATTTTTCTCAAGTATAATAAGAAAATGAGCATGAGGAAGACCTCGCTTTTGAAATTCTATTGTGTACATATATGCAATAACTTTACCAAATATATGCGCAGTCAATATATTTTTTTTTAATTCCTCCAACTTTGCTCGAAATACTCTACAAATTAGATCATGTCTATTTTGTGCTTGATCAATTGGCAGTAGATTTTCTTTAATTTCAGGCCAAGAGGGATTACAAGTGATAGTTAAAAACAGATCAGGCTTTCCAAAACGCTGAACTAAAGTCATAGCATCCATGTATCGACGACGCATATCTCTAGGACCACGGGTAAAACTGGGAGGTATTATTCTATTTCTACCTACTTAGGAAGCATCTCTTTCGCCACGGCGTAGAACATCCAGAAGCCCTCCTAATACATCAGTTCTTATGAAGTCTTGGTTAAAATAATTAAAATCAAGTCTTTGAGTTTCGATTTTGATCCATTCATCTACTACATATTGTTGGAATAATCTACCCGAATGCAGAATTATGCTTTCATCATCTCTCATTTGAAGTTTATAGCAATAATATTCACGACAAGAAACAGTTTCTCTTTTTGTTTACCTTTTGCATAATTTCATCTTCTAAATTTAAAAATCCATCAATCGAGGCCATATTGTTAACATTTGGTAGTTGTTCATTTTTACAGTGTGTTTGTGTAGTCGAATGAGGACTTAGAGGTTTAATTTTTTTAATACCACAGTGTCAACCATTTTCACCATGAGGGAACAATAATGGATATTGTAATGAATCATAACATCCATTATAATAATGTACTAATTGGCTTGTATCACTTTTAGTATATATTCTAATATGAGGTGTGGAAACATGGTTGTTAATATTTTGTTCTAACTATATTCCTGCAACCTCTGATGTAGTTGGCAAGCTATATATACGTTGATTTAGACCAGCATCAGATTTAAAAGCAACATAGAAATCAGCTAGTTGTGGAATATTTATTAAAGATTTTAAGAATATAGAATACGGATTAACTTGTAATATTTCCATTAAAGTTTCGACAATTTGTTGATTTAGTTTATCAGAACATGCCATTCGGTTTTTCAATTCATTTTCACTGTCAAAATAGTATAGCTGAAGATTTTTCATTTTTTTCACCACTTGGTATTAGATTATCTATAAAATGGTACATCTTACCCTTAACTCTAAATGTATAAATGCCTTTATTTCTTTTCGCTAAATCTTTATCGTAGTTTACTCCAAGAGATGTGAATGCAAACATGTTATTGTAGGTTCTTATATAAGTTCGGAAAAGCTTTGATTTCTCGTTATGTTGTAGGTAAAGATTTTGCAAGTCTGATGGAAGTTGGTGAGAAATTAGTTTAATAGAACCTTTGGCGCAACAGAAACCCACTGATTCATATTCAAATCTTTTTGCACCACAAAAATTACATTTTGGAACGGATTTCAACATATGGTAATTTATGGATGTTTGTGTCATTATAGTGTTTTCATTACAATGTTCATTAGCAGTTGATGTTGAGCCTGTCATGTACATGTATTTAGCATATTTCTATATAATATATTTTTCTAAAGAAATATCAATATAATTTTCTGACCTAATTCAAATTGATATAAGCAATCTTGTCGCTGAATAGGATGTTGTTTAGCAGAATGTAGCTGTGTGAGGGAAGATGTAGAGATGGTTGAGTCAGCAGTGAAATGTTGTCTGCTCAATCCAGTTGATTGGTTTGGGTTCTGGGCAAGACAACTTCTTTTTTGGTAGGGCGCTTCACTTTATATAAGTCATGACGTCGAAGTTTTTTACTGCCCTCTGCTTTGTCAGAGTGTGGATGTGCTTTTTTTTTTTATTCGGCATTTCAATAGTATGTTTCTATCAGTTATTAATAATCACATGGAAAAATAAATATATCAGGAAGAAGTATTCATATTATAAAGTTGTAAATGCACGTAATGCTGAAATAAATTATTTTTGGCAGGGAAAGCATTACCTTGT